TGAAAGACGCGCTGTTGACGCTCTTATATCGCCATTTGCAAAAGTAAAACTATTTCCAAATAGTGTTAAGCTGGGTGAGGAATAAGGAGTGAAAGTTTAGTTTGAAAAGCATTTTATGGCTTGTGTGCGAGTGTTTCACTAAGCCATTGATTGGTGCGCGATATTATCATATTCCAACAAGCGATTAAACACAAGATTTACGACGCTGATGCATCTTTTTTCGCGAATGCTTATAATAATCAACATACCTAGTCAATTGAGGAGAAAATCATATGATTGCAATTTTTTTTTGCAAAACTTATAACTCCTTATGTGGTGAAATTAACCCAAATAAAAGCAAAAAGATAGCCGCCGAATCTATCGCGCAAGCAAAGATGTTGCTTAGTAAAGGTGATACACACCAGCGTACATGATTAATGACACGAGCGGTTGACACGAGCGTAGAGACTCTTTTTGTGATGCTGCTTTCTTCCACAAACTATGCACGTCGATGGAAGAAAGAATGAGAAGAAAGCGACTGAAAGAAATTGGTGTACTATTTTATATATCTGTGGTCATAAGCGTTAGCCCCCTAAGTAGTCTTAACAAGTAATTGCGTTATATATGCTATCGTACTCCGCAATTACTATTCTTTGCGTATGTGAAATCCACATCTCGCCAGCTATTAAAAAGTTATAGATGACACTGTTTTCATTTTAAAAGTCTTTTTCTCGAAATCAGGTTTTTCGATTTAGGCGGTTATTGCTTGTGACCACGAATATTTTTTACCTAAAGTATTTTTTTTTATTTTTATTTTGTTTTAGTTAGGTATGTAATTCCCAATATTATCTATCCCTGTTCTATTTACTTCATTAGCCTCCCTTCCTTTCGTTTCTTTTCAGTTCCCTCTCTTCCCTTTCTTTCTTTTTTACTCAACTTATCTGCCTTTTCTCCAAGTAAAAAATTCCTTTCTTTTCTCTTTCTGCCTTTAATTTCTTTGCTTATTTCTCTCCCTTTTCCTTTTCCTTCTCTCCCCAACCTAGCGTTCCTTTTCTTTCCCTTCATTTCCTTTCATTCAATCCAGTATTTTGTCATGTGCTCCCAAAATTAAAATTAAGATGTTTTTTTTTGTTTTCAAAAATCACATAACATTTATTTATCGTTTATTCGTTTTTCCAATATCATACATTTCGTTCCGAGTAATCGCCGATTTTCTCTAATCTATAATACTAAGAATTGTTGCTCCGTTGGGCGTTCACTCAACCCTGCAGCACAACAGGACGTCCGCCACGACGGCTACCACGTCGACGTGTTGCACCACCCACCTGATATACGCGCACATTCTGGCGCCTGTTACCGCCACGACGACGACGACGATTACCTCCTTGTCGACGGCGGTTGCCACCTCGTCGACGCCGCACATTGCGTCGCGAACCCTTGCGGCGACGACGTACTATAACACGATTGGCGCGCGCCTCCTCAGATTCGTCGGCGGAACTCTCCACCAACGCCACAACACTTCCATCGGGTATGGCCTCGAGTGCGGCACGTGGCACCAACAACGCCGTCTTGCCGGTTTTCTCATCAACAACACTTTGTCCCTCGATCTCAATGAAACCATCGGGTACCATAATAGCTCCGGCGTGTTCACGTGACACCATCATATTCGTCGGTTTGGCATTCTTCAGCACAAGTTGAGCATTGAATTGGCTGGCGCGATTACCAAAAGTGGAGCTCTGCACGGGGATTTGATTTTTCAATTGACTGCGCAGACGGGGTGAGTGCGGCACACGCGAACGCAGGAATACGATATTACTGGCTACATCATTTACATCGTTTTCATTCTCATCATCATCAGCATCATCATCATTTAACTCGAAGCTCGCCTCGTCGTCATCGTCGTCAGCATTATCCACTGAATTATCTTGTTCTTCTTCGTCATCATCATCTTCTTTGGCGTCGTCAATATCATCGTCATCGTTATTGCTTTCCTTATTAACATTGTTAACAGGATTGTCGTCTGCATCGTCGTCGTCGTTGTCGTTGTCAGCGATTTGTACGACCTTGAAGCCCTGCACTTCATGACCATCGCCATTGGTACGTGGACGGGCAAGAAAGATATAAGGATGATTTGATGAGGCGATTGCGGCGCCGGAACGCAGTTGCTTCTGTTGTTGTGGACCCAATCGGGGTTCTGGGAATAAAAAATGTAATTAACTAAGTATGAGTTCTACCACAAGTAATTCTAGGACTCCTCTCCTGAAGTGCTTTACTCGTTTGGCGCAGTTGAATATATAAATATTTAAATATTTTGAAAAGTTGTTTTAGTTTGGAATAAATTATTTACTTCTTCTGTAAGCTATTGTTTTTTTTTCGAAAAAAGTTGTATATTTTTTCAGCGGCTACTAGCATTTACCTGATCACATTTGGTCAAGATGGGCACTGTGACAAACTCATCGAGCTCTAAAATGCCTCAACTTTATTGCCACCATTATTGGAAAGCGGATCGCCTGCCGAATAACTACTCATTTTTGTTATTCAAAATAAACCTTTTTTAACTCAGTAAATTAAAGTACATTTGTGAATTTTTTTGAAATTGTATGCTTTTATTTAAAACCCCCAAACATTTATGTATTATTATAAGAGAGAGTAGCTCTAACTTGAATCCTTATGTATTCACCTATGTCAAAAATTACGCTTTCAACCCTCTCTTTCTCGCTACCCTTCCCCAATACGCACCTGCACACGTCAACGCCACGCAGAGCAGCAATGCTGCCACGCTTGTCAATTTCAGCATTCTCACTAGGCTTTTTTCTGATCTCTTCGCCGATCAATCAATCAATTTAAATTATAGATATTAAATATGTATATCTACCAGAAGACGCAGTACCAACAAAAATTGTCCTAATTGTAAGCAGTGTCCCGCAGAACTGTAACGAGCGCTTTGATCGCTTGACGTTTTTATGCAAAAGTCCGCATATAAGCAGGCAGGCAGGCCACCATATGCCAGAACACTGGACAACGGCCAAGAATGGTCAAAGAACCAAATTAAGTCAAACATATTCAAATGAAAAAGGAAAAAGAAAAATATCTACAATGCAATAAGAACGAAAAGTTAAAACATAGCAAACAGCCGAATATTGAACTGAGAACAAATGTAAGAAGACAGTAGAATGCTTACTTTTATTTTTTCAGCATCGAATGTTGGCACCATCTACAGCAAGCTTAGACAGCTGCTTGTCTACAGTCGGTGTGATTTTCGCGCGTGCTCATGCGCCTACATCTGTTCTTGGTTGGTTGGATGAGTTGCTGTTGATAAACAAAAGTACATAGCCAGCAATCTTTGTCTTCACCTCATTACTGAGGCTGATGAAGAAGTTCATTAAAAAAAAAAAAAAAATTACAAAATAATAGCATCGACTTTCGAACGTGTGTGTTGGTGTTTAGTAAACACTTGAACAACTTACCTGTAGCACAATTGTCCAGTTGTAATGTATAGCTGGAATTCAGTTTGTAGATTTTCTTTTTTTTAATTATTACAATTTAAATAAATATATGTATGTAGAAAGAGCATTCGGAACGCTGGCCGCAGAAGCACTCGTTAGCGATTGCTGCTGGCATCATAGTGACCAAAAATTCACACGCATGATTGCTTATAACCCTAATAGCTAGTGCGAAGAGGTTCAGCGACCTCCACCAAACTCCTTAAGAATAATTGTCAATTCATAGCCTACGTTTTGATACGAGTTGGTTTTTTTTTTTTTTTGTTTTGTTGCTTTTGTGAAAGAATAAATAATACATTTTTAAATATGAGGCGGACAGTTATTTGCTGAAAGAAGCATTTCATTTCGATCAGTCGTCTAATCAAATTCACATGCTTGTAGCAGCGATGAAAATGTGGGAATTAAAAAAAACTAAGTTCAATGCTCTTGTTTAAAATTTTTACTAATAACGTAATAAAACTAATTGCTTTCTTTAATTTGATATATTTAATAAAGTTAATATTTCAGATGATTACGTTGTAGTAATTTGTAATTGTACTTCGGCTATAATCCGGAGTATATAAAATTAACATAGAGCGATTTTTACTGCCCCGTGACTTCCTGCCAAAAAAATCTGGGAAATACTAGTAAACACATAAAGGGCTTGTGATGTGTGGCAATATTTGTAGTTGCGTTCCAAAACCCTATCGTGAACGGCTTGTAAATATTTAGTGAATACGTCAAGGCAGGCGAAACAGTGTTGGCATTTTTGATACAATTTTGTTCACAATATACTTTCCTACTATTATATACTTTTTAGTACAGTTTTGTGATGAATACTAAATATATGTTGCTCTGGAAATACACAGCGGAAAACTTTTGTACTCTCTTTTTGTTTTGACCTTTTCGAATTTGTCTTTATAAGTTTTGAAAAAGTGTTTAAAATGTATTGAGCTATCAGCTTCCCTTCCTAGGCAAAGTTTGAAAAAATATTTTCGATACAAAATCTTGAAACAAAATGTCGAAATCAGCTTCATATAGAAGCAATAACTTCTTTAATTAAAACAAGAGATTTTTTTTTAAATATGTAGTGCTTATCATAACTACGAAACTCACAAATTGGACAAGATTTGGCTATTTATTTTGTTATTTTTTAGTTTTTTATTCTTTAATGGAAACTATATGAATCCAAGTTTAAATCTTTGCGCAACCTTAAAAAAAATCAGCAAACTTTCATACAAATTTCGAGCTTCTTATTTAAATTCTTGTGCAATTTTTTGAGTATGCAGTTTTGTACCTCATTTAATTTTATAGTACCAGGTTTACCGAGTTTTGCCCGGAGTGCATATACTTTTTAAAGTTTTCAAGATTTGGATAGCTTTAAAAAAATATTTTGGAATTGAAAAAAAATTTATTTCGATATCTAGTTAGTAAGTAAATTTCTTACTCTAAAATTTAGGTGGCAACCCCATTCCGAAATACGTTGGAACCATAGTACAAGTCTTAAGCGTATATGTACTGTGTATACTTACAAAAAATGCTGACAACATACTAATTTGTATTACATAGAAGCGTGGCAACCTTGATCGAAAATATTTTCTGACCAAAGTTCTCAACAATACCTTTCATTTGATATCCATATTGCGATGTCTTAGATAAATTGTGAAGAATCGAAAATAAGTGGCAACCTTACACTATTATCCTAAGGGATATCATTTTGTATATAGGGAAAGCGTTGTTTAAGAAACTTCTCTTGGTACCCATGAATAGTAATATTTTACCTTTTTTTTTCTAAACAAAATTTTAAATAAACTTGCGATTCAAAATAGGTGGCAACCCTCTTAAAAATATTTTTGAATTAGGGATCTTTAAAATACCTTCCATTTGATACCCATATTATGATTTTTTAATTAATTGTCACTCATTTCGAATAGGTGGCAACCCTATACGAGTCTTCTCGGAAATCCAAAACATTATCTATGTACAAAATTTCATCAAAATCGTTAGAGCCGTTTCCCAGAACCCTATGGATATATATATATATACAAGAATTGCTCGTTTAATGTAATAAGATTTTAAAGTGCAAGTTTAAAGTAGCTGGGAGTTACGGTCAATTTTTGGCAATCTTTTTTTACGATGTCAGTCATTTCCTTCCATATGAAGTACGTTCACGGTTTTGGTTAAGGTATAAACCTTTTTTATAAACAAATAATTAAAATCAAATAATATTAAGATAAATGATTAAATCTTTTTAATATGTGGGTGTCGTAAAGTTTTGATAAGAACTATAACTAGGAATATTGCCATAATAGTAAAATTACTAATGAAATTCTATCGCGGGATTATTTGCCCAGAAACCCGGGATTTTCAAGACCTAAAAAAGACCAGGATCCCGGGATCACGGGATTAACGTTCCGCCACAAAAAAAAATATTAAGGGCCGGTTCGATTTCGATTTCATGCACATAACATGTGATTGATAAAGCAGTCATTGTATATAACCGGAGCTTCTACCTTCGATTTGTGTTAACCAGACATTGAACAACCGGCCCTAAGATTTACGTGAGATGGANTCGGCAGCCAGTTCGAAAACGCCCTATCCCAAAAAACTTTTCAAAAACGTCCTATTTCAGAATTTGGTTGAAGAACGACCTACTTCAGAATTCGTTTCAAAAAAGCCCTATCTCTGCTACCGATTCAAAAACGCCCTATATCTGCACATTTTCAATACATTTTGAAATGAGACAGGGCATTTTTGAATTGTATTCTGAAATAGGGCGTTCTTCAATCAGATTCTGAGATAGAGTGTTTTTCAATAAAATTCTTGAACATTTTTTTGAGATAGGGCGTTTCCGAACTGGCTGCCGAGATAGGTCGATCGTCCACTCAGCAGTCGATATAGAGGATATTTTGGCGGAACTCTTTGAATAAAATAGTTTTTTATAATTCCGATAGAAAAAAAGTACAGGTCTTTTTTTTTTTTGTATGAAGAGTGATGCACACTAATGTATGTACATACATAAATATCCACAGATATGTATGTGTATTAGCATGCACCCTTTTGAACAACATCAAGACTTTTGGGACATTGTAAGTACATATTACTTGCAAGAATTTCAAAAGCTCTCAATTGATAGTTTTAGTTTACTGACACTTGCTAACAAATTTCTGCTACTGGAGAGTGTCAATGAAAGCCACAAAATAATGAGTGAGAAAAAAGTGGCACGCCCTCAGGCCAAACACTTATACTAAGGATAGAAAAATTCATTTAAAAAGTAAATAGAAAATTTCAGTCTAATAAAAGAGCAACAAACAACGCCAAATGAAGTCATTGATCTGCAAAAATTGTATAAATTTTTATACAGAAAACGTATTGGAAAGCAACTTCAATTTATATTCCCACCAAACTCTCGCTCTAGTCAACCAATTTGGATATCTCATTTATTATTATTATTTTTCGTTTTTGCTAGCAATCATTAATATTTTTTTTACGTTTCATCTCAGCTTCCTGCTTAAATAAAGGCGCTGGAGGTAGAATTCGTGCCAAGGCGCAGATGTTCGTGTTAAAAAATGTCTGACATATTTTCTATTACACTGAAATACTTATGTACGTATATAAGTGTGTAAATGCTAAAGGTTACAATTTTATATGTATATGTAGTTACTGATTGGCTCGGCAACGAAATTTAGTTTCTCTTTAGAAATCACTTCTTTATTATTTACTAGCGATATTTAAATTCGTATTTTCTATTAATTTTATATGCAAGAATGTTAGTAACGGTATTCTGTCGCACAGGTAGATAAAGAGTTAAGGAAAGCGCATATGTATGAGTGTATATTAACGGAGTCAATAGCATACCCTGTAGGAAAATTTAGATACATACATACATAGTCTAAGTAGAATTTTACTAGGCACAACGAAAAGTTGGTCTATTTAATTTAGACGGAATATCAACTAAATAATGAAAAAGGATAAAAAAAGCTTTAAAGTTATATTTGATACTGGACCTTGAGCTTACAAAAATGTTGACAATTATTTAGTAGTTATAGTTAACCGTTAATCTATTCTAAGCTAGCTTATCGAAAGAAGATATGTAGTCAATTTATGCTTAAAAGAAAAAAATATGCAGTTTTCGGAGAAGTATTCGGCTGGATTTATTATGATTTATTATTATATGTATTTTATTAAAAACGTTTCTCGCTATTAAACCAACAAAATGTTGCCTGCTCGACTAGTAACATTTCTCTATTTTTTTTTTTTTGAAAATACCTTCAAAGAACGCTCGATTTATATAGAAATATCTTATACATACATACATATTGGGCCGTATGAATAAAAACTGAGCAATTGCTTTTTCTTAAAATTTCATACCTGTTACTTCACTTTTGTTTGAATAAATCGATTAAAAGGTCTGAAATATTAAGAAAAAGCAATTGCTTATTTTTATTCATACGGCCCATTGGAGTGAGAAAAATATGACTTTTGAAATCCAAAAGATTTTATTATTACTAAATACCCAATATACATATATTAATATTCATAATTGTTAACCAAATAAAATGATTTTCCCGTTTTAACAAAGTGGCTTCTTGAAGAAAGCCTTAGTGGCTTATTTTATTGGGCTCTGTATAGTTCTCTTTTCTGAAGCCGAATATCAAATATGATTTTTTCCTATGGAGGTTCCCTTCCGCAAAAGGTAGATATTTTCATATGAGCATATATGTATGTATATTTGTTTATGTAAATACATTCTATTAGGATTTAATCACGCCACTTATTACCGTTTAACCCGTTAAGAAGAAATTCATGCCAATAAATATTGATTATTTGGGTCTTATATGTGTAGGTATGCATGTATGTAAGAATGCATAAATAGTTGAAAGTTCATCGAACTACTTTTGTCAATTTGTCTACTCATTTGCTATGCATATGTATGTATGGACAAATAAATATCACATACTTATACACATATTTAGACGTACGATTAAGTAAAATAAATTCACGGAATTCATTCATGGACATTCGATAATTCCAAAAGTTGGCAAACCATTTTTACTTTTCAAATTTAAACGAAAATATTTAAATTTAAAGGCGTCAACCACAGATTTATAAGTTAATAAATTAGAGGGAAAATGGGTTAAGTCTATAAAACAATTAATTATTCGTACCTAAAGTGTATCTCAACTTAGAGGTGAGAAAAGAAAGTAAGTATTTTCTAAATCGGTCAACACTCGGTAGGCAATTACAAACATTCGGGATTACCTACTTTTGCCATGTAAAAGCTTTCCATAAAAGATCATCTAAATTTGTGTACAAAATATTAAGGCGTACTCCAAACAGAAGCTCGGTGAAATTTTTAACAAAAATGTAAGCAACAAATGAGGCCATAAGAACAGAAATGGCCTATCCCACAATTTTTATTTATTTTTTTAGTTAACCTCTTAAAAAAGTCGCTTATAAATATCGCTTATTGATGTTACGCTATGTAGCTTTCTACTTTACATAGAATTAAGGATTGAGCGTTTTTTATTTTTAAATTTATCACATTAGAGTCTATTTAAAGTAGGTATGTATGTGAAAAAAAAACATTGGGTTAGGCTATTTCCGCTCTCACGGCCTCAAATATTTGTTTACATGACTGTTGCAGGTGCCTTTCTCGTCCATCAACAATGACAAGTGAAACGGAGTGTGCGGCTACACAAACAAACGTGGTCTTTGAAACCATAAGTAAGGGAAGTTCATGAAGAATTTGGTCGGCCAAAGATCTGACATTTGGAAGATATCAATGTTGCCTTTGACCAGACCTCATACGTTTTCAATTTCTCAGCTCAGCTCTAAAGCACCATTAAATGATACTAGTATCGCCAAGTTGTTGAAATTCCACCATAGGGACTTAAACGATGGTCGGCGAATTATCTGAGTGGTCGATATTCGTCAGTCGTTTTCAGAGAAAAAACCAATAAACTAAAGAAAACTAAACAGGGGGTCCTACCGGCTGTTGTGCTTTCCTCGTTGCTGTTTAATTTTTACATATCAAAGTTCCCTCAGCCACCAGAGGGAGTCTCGATTGCCTCCGGGCTTCTTTACTGCAAGAAGCCTTACCCTCTCCCCTATGAAATCCTCGGCAACCCTTTTTACCAATTTACCGGCCGCTCCTAAACTATGCAGCGCCTGTGTGGTCGCCGGGGACTAGAAGAACGCAGCGGACGAAGCTGCAGAGGTTCATTAAACAACCTCTGAACCCAAATGCATAACGACAGGCTTTCAAGAAGGAGTCGGCCTTGATTAAATAGGCTAAGCATGCACTCCTTGCTACTAAAGTTTGAAGGGCTATAAACCTATAAACCAGCAATTTTTCGGAAAATTTTGATTGAAATGTTTGAAATTTTGTTGAAAGTTTGTTGAATTTTTATATTTTTTGTACAAAATTTAAAATGTGGATTTATGTATTTTGTGTGTTTTATATAAAAAATAAAGTTATAAACACAAGTTCGTGGTCGACAACGTAAAAATTGAATGACCCACATCTCTTCATATCTTAAAGAAATTTAATATCTAAATCCAAACTTGTTTCTGCCATTAATCAAAACCAAAAAGGATGGGCACATATATATACACATATATGTAAATATCAATGGCATGCTTGTACATATGTATGAGGAACCTCTTAAAATTTAACTAGTCATGCTCATTATGATTTCTATTTTGCTAATCTACATATAAATTAATTTAGAAATTTCACCATCGAATCCACACGCAGCCGCTCTAAATAGCTGTTGCTTTTTAACAAAAACCTAACGGCATTTCAAAGCTTATTTTCATATTGAACAGGTTCAGCCAAAGCGTGTCGTATGCGAAACAAAGCTTCTTGGCCTGAAGTAACCACTTTAACTCTGTTAACCCATGCAAAATTAGTGAAATATTCGTATTTATGCAAAATCTCAACAACGATTAGATAAACAACAACAACAAACGCTGAATGGGCGCCGCTAGAAAGCGCGTTTAAGCGATGATTAGACTTAGCTTTTGGGCATTACTGACTGATTAATTATTCAGCTTCATGCTGCGTTGGAAGATACATAATTTGGTGTGACCGCAGATGGTCAGATTACAACAAAAATAGACGACACTGTCGAATAAAAAAGTATTTCATTGAAAGATTTTGGGAGCGTATGTATAAATGTGTACGAGCATTTTCGGTGGTCTTTGGTAGCATTGAACTCTTTTGAGGTCAGTAGGGAAATAAAACAGGATTTAATAAAAAAACAGCTATCTTATTTTGAATTTATATTCACATTTAAATCGAATACTATGCATCTTTTAGTTGATTGATAAATTCTTTTCTTCAACGCTTAAAAAGTGTGAAGAAAAGTCATCCAATATGGCTAGGAGAAATTTTACTCGCAAAAATTTATTTAAATGAGCCAAAGGAATATTAATCAGAGCAAGTTTTCAGTTTTGAGTGCAAACAACTTACTTGCATAGAATCGTGCTTTCTCTTTTGCCCAAATAAAACTAACCACCCCGGAAATACATATGTAAAAAAATTCGAAATTTTGAATTTAAAACTTTAACTTGTTTTTATTTCGTTTGTTTTTTAATAAATTACAATCTCTACGCATAACTTAAAATTAAGAAACTGCCCACTTAATTTAGTCTTTCGTCTGCCCATCCCATTACGCAGTCGCCACCGCCCCTTCGCCGGTCTTATTATCCTCCACCGGCACCTTTACCGGCACATCAGCGCCTTCTAACGCCTTCTGTTCTACTTCTGTTTGCACTGCTTCTGCCTGTCCCACTTTTGTTTCAATTATTTGTGGTTGCGCTTCCACTGCGACCTGCAAGTCCTTTACAGGCGCCGACTCTTCTGGCTCGCTGATAACTTTTACAGCTATGAATTGTTCGCCACTCGCCGGCTGCAACTGGTCTAAGTTCGGCTCACCAGCTGTTGGCACCTCGAGCTCACGTCCGCTTCTACGCAGTTGTGCAACTCGCCCATTTTTCAGCACCTCAAAGTAGGGTGAGCCATTTGCACCGTAGACATAACGCGCCTCACCATATACAGGCTGCACCTGCTGCGTCAGACTGGGCTCATTATCTTCCCCCACAAGGATGTATTCGTTGTCCACATTATGTACCGTTTCTTGGGCGGACATTTCTTCAGCAGCTTCTGTCGGCGCGTCTGCGGTGGCAGGCGATTTTTCGACAACCGTTCCTGGGCGTATGCGCTGTGGTAGGTTCGTAGCAGTTATGGCTGCATTGCTGCTGCTAGCTGGCTTATTTTTCTTCTTCTTTGATGCAATAATTACAGGCATGCCTCCGGTGGAGGGTTTCTGAACTGACGCGTCCATGGAGTGGCGATCGTGTGGAATTTTCGGTGGCTTAAAGACGTCCATAATCGAAGCCTCGGCCAAAAGCGGCACAGCTTCAGAAGTGATGGCGGGTTGCTTCTTACGTTTTGAGCTTTGGTTCTGCATAGCTTGAATGGCGCTGGCTGGAATATTTAAGATTAGTGGCTGACTCTGCACACCTTCGACAACAGAATGAAGGTTATTAGGTTGTGTGATACCTAATTGTGACCAAGGGATTGTGATATACTGGGTAGGAGCATTCTTACGCTTGAGCGGCACCGTCAAGGGGGGTTGTGGAAACTTTGTGGCTCCTTGCTTGAGTTGATGCGCTTGTGGAAGTTCGTTGTTTAGAAGTTCAGGCGCCAAGTAGTAGGTTTGCCCATTGCGATTAACAAAAAGTGTCGCACGTCGTCGATTCTGTTTACTGCCCGTCTGCGCCGGAGATGTGCTTAATAGTGCGCCAATCTCAGCGGGTGTATGGCCGCCCGTTAATTGACGTATCTGTTTAATTACGTTTTCCTGTCCACGCCGAAAAAGGGTGGCATCATTCTGAGAGCGTTTTGTAGAGGGGCGGCTGCTGTAATACAAGTGCTCATCGGCACCATCGTCTTCGTCGTCTTCACTTTCGATGGGTTTTGGTATACGCCGAATAACGCTACCGGGCTGCTGGCGCTGACTGCCCACGATAAGGCGACGGCGTTGCGGTTGCTGACGCGGGCGGTTGTTACTATTGTACTGTACCGGACGGTGGCGAGTATTCACGTTCTGAGCCGCGGGTTCTTCTTCCTCGTCGTTTTCATCATTTTCCACATTTTCATCTTCTTCATCATCTTCAATAACTTCTTCGTCTTCATCATCAACAAATTCGTCTGACTGGGGACCGTCATCGTTATCTTCTACTTCTTCTTCGGAGATGTCATCTTCGACAATGGGACGACGGCGACGTTGTGGTCGATTCTGTTGTGGGCGCCGTACAGGGCGAATTTCTTCTTCTTCTTCTTCATCATCATCGTCAATTTCTTCATCTTCACGGTTTGGCCTGCGTCTGTTATTATTGTTCTTATTATTTCTACGCTTGTTCTTATTTTTAATAATCTCCTCCTCTTCTTCGAGTGGGTCATCCAAATCGTCGTCTAGTTCATCATCGTATTGGACATTTAAATTATTATTATTATTGCTATAGAAGCGATGTGGACGATTTTCGTTGGTGATCGATATGAGTGGACGACGTGTTGAACCCTTGTGCTGCACACGTACAACAATATCTGGACGTTGTGTTGTTGTTGTTGTTGTGGTCGTGCTGGTCGTGCTTGAATCACGTATGGGCGAGTCCACCAAACCAGGCAATTGGATACGATCGGTCAGCCAGCCACTGACAGAGCCGGCCAATGACGAGACCGATGATGAGACGGTTGATCCCAAACCCTGGCCGGCATTAAAACCGAATAGTGTCCAGGGGGAAGGCGTTGTTGTGGAGGATGAATCGCCAGCTTGTTTGCCAGCCAAACCTTCTTCGGGAGAACGCGGTTTAAAAGCGATCAGAGGGTGTATGATAAAGTCGGCGACTGTATGGGGTTGCGCATTTTGTGGCTGTTCACTTTTCGTAGCTGCCGCAGCTTGCGCTTTAATAGTTGCAGTAGTTGGCCGCTCAGTTGAGGTTTTCATTTGAGAGTCTAGATAAGAAACGTTGATACTAATTGGCACCAGAAACGATTTAATTACGAACATTAGCTACTCACCTAAAACCGCTAAGTCAGCAACGGGCGACTCAGTCGAATCCTCCATACGATGTTCCATATCAGCATTATCAACATCGGCTGCAAAGGTGGTGCTAGATGTAAGCACCAAAGCCACAAGGGCGAAAAGTAAATATTTGGAGCCCATGTTGTTTTGCTTGCTGCTGAAGCAGGTGACGTTATCCTCCGTTTTGGTGGACTACCACACAAACCAATAAAAACTGTACTTTATCTCTTAGTTATGTTACTAAGTTAATAACGAATAAGCTTCGTTTTCTTAAAAAAAAAAAACTTGTTAATCATTTAATTTTTGTACGAAATGCCAATTAACCCCTTGTCACGCCAGACACTTCTTTTTACAATCGCAACTTTACGCCAACTGGGCGAACGCTCGCATCAACATGAGCTTTTTATGTGACGTTCAATAGTGTTGTTGTTGTGTATGTATGTACATGTGTATTTGCCGCTTCAGAGCTAACCTTCTTTGCTGCTCTGCTAAGTGCGTCGCACAGTGGTAAATCGCCATATAAACTGCGACAAAAAAGTAGTAATAGTTTTGGTCAGGCATGTGGTTTGCCCGATTTTTGCTTATGCGTTCGTAGTTTAGTGATCAAACAAATATTAAAACAAATTCCGATTCAACGTTCAAATAAACTAAGAAGCTTGGCTTTGCCCTCCTTTGCGGTATTAGTAAAAATTGTTCAATTGCGGCTCTGGACTCCCGCCCAATATATCTTTTCAAGCATCAGCAGCCCCGAAGGATTTTCAAATGCGAATATCTGGCGGTACTCTTCATGAGAACAAGAATCAGACAAGTATTTTGGGAAACAATTTTAAAGAAATCTGTTTTGGAAGGAAATTCCTTGTAGAAATCCCAGAGCGCGATGTCTGGGAAAATATGGTCCCTTAGCTTGATCTCAAATATGCAAATATGCATATTGATGCACTGATGGGCCAGGTGTGGAAGACAAAACAGCTGGGAGTTTTTATGACTATTCCATTTCGATTTCAATTGGCAGATGTCCCGCAAGTTTTCCTTCACAGATGCTAAGTAAGCAAAAGTCCACCAGAATTGGCCTAATAGGATCACTCCAATCTAAGAAGTAGCGAGGTACAATATAACAATGTCCTGGGTACCTGGGAACCGCAGTATTTAAGGACTCTAAGGATTGGTGAAACTTAGAACGCAGTAAGTTTTCGAGAGCGGTAACGGGCAAGCCACACTCTGTGGTTACCTTTCGCTACAAAGCAGAGCGAGCTGTGCGCTGGATATTTAACCGGGACTGCCTTCCGGAGTGGTCTGTCCTTATATATGTGTGCAGTCCACTTCTAAGGCCTTCTAGCATTTATTAGGCACTAAAAGTAAATTGGGCCTCCAGGGTCGGGGATCTCTTAATAGGGACATAAAATATCATCTAAATAGTACTTTCCCTAGAGGGTTATATTGTTAAATTTTTCACTCAGTTTCAAAAACTTTTTGGATGGAATAATAGTACTGAGATGTTTTCGTATAATCAGTATTTTACTTATAAGTTATTCAATAGACACTGACGGCCAGTCCCATTTACCGTTTCTCCAAATTTTCTTAAAGAAAACTTTTTACACACATACGAGAATTTTTTTGGGGGAGCTGCAAACTGGTATATGAAATTTTTACAAAATAAATTCTTTTCATTCCTTGAGCGTTTTCTAATGATTTTTTTTCGCTTGAGAGCTGAATAATATTTATACTTATATTTCTAAACCTCTAGGCTTAAGCAGTAAAAATAACTCGTAAGAATAAGAAAAGAAAGGAAGCACATACACTGCACTTTAAGTTTTACTAATTTGGTATTTATTTTCTTTAGCTCTTTGTAATACACTCAAAACGGCACAACATCGAAACCTGTTATCTCCAAACCAAATTCCCAAGTGATAACGGAGTACTTAATCTAAGCATTAAACCCAACCTATTATCAAACTATGTTTCAGAATTGATAACTGAAACTTAGTTTGGTGCTTATTTGAAGACATTTTAAAATTCCAACTTTTTGCCCATTTTAGACCACTGTGCGTCGTCATATTTCGTCGCTCTTGTTGATGTTGCTAGCACAATCATGGCTCAACTTTTGGCGCACTTCCTTCTATGTTCGCTATCTTGTTTACATCGTTTTGGTTATGTTTTGTGCCCATTATAGAATATTTCATTTTGCTTGAGATTTTTGTATTTTGCCTAAATTTCTGCTTCTGCATTATGTAGTGAATATTTTTGTAGCTTAAACCAATGTAGTTTTTAAACAATGTAACGAATTTTTTATACATTGCATGAATTTATATAAAGCAGAGTAATTATTTAAATAACATGATAACATTTTTGCAAACTTTTTAAAGAGCACCGAATATTTAAAAGTGAGTTAAGCAATTGTGTTTTAATTGGACTCTTTCTTATGCTCGATTTCCACAAGGCATTAAATGGCAAAAATTGTAATGACAAAGTTGGACATTAAAAAATTATCGTGTCATTACGTTCAAAAAATAGTCATGAAGTTAATTTTCAGATGGCATTTGTTAAATTACACCAATGTTTTGTCATTTCAATGCTTAGTGGAAATTCGGCATTAGTCCTTATAATTTGAATTCCGCTACTGAATGGCAAACCAAAAAATCTAAAAACTAGTTTGCAATGTTTTTGAAATGGTTTTTCATTTAATTCATTTTTTGAATTCTTTCACTTCTATCCGAAAACCAATTGTTGTACTCAGATTCAACCATTTATAAGATAAAAGTGTTTTAGTACTTTCATTCTGAACTCATACATATCACTTGTGGTCAGCTGATTAAGTCAAGTGACATTTGGAATAGTTTTAGCTATTTTGGTTTTGTTTATTTAATGTTTATCTTTTTTTTTATAAAAAACTAGAACCTTACCTAACCAGCTCCCCATAAATCCAAACTTCAAACTTTGTAAAAAAAAATATGAAAATTCAACAAACTTTAACATTTGCACCCGAAAATTTTACACTTTTTATTTAGAATTTTTTTGGGTAAGCACTATCGTGAAGCTTTAAAAATTACAACTACAAAATTTGAACATAGCCTCCATATCTAAACGTAAGACGTATTCTACGTCAAAAATACCATGTGTCTCGTTTTCGCCTCCAGTGTAAAAAGTCTGTTGCAAAAATCAGAAAAGGCTACACAAAAGCTCAGAAACTAGGTCCGAAATTTAGAGGCTAGGAAATAAGATTAAAAGCTAGAGGTAACCTTAAAAAAGGCTTAACTGGTAACACTGGCTATAACGAGCATTCTGGCATGTGGAGAGTCGCCACATGATTCACGGCACCTCTTCGCATGCCCCCACAACACCAGCCAGCTAATGCCCCTTTCCCTATGGACAGATCCCGTTGAAGTCGCGCACTTCCTGGGCCTCCCATTAGCTGAAACAGACGACAACGTTGAAGGATGAGCCGACCCGAGGGGGCTTAGCAGCCGCAACAACAACAACAACAGGTAGGTATTTTATTTTTAGTTGGGGGCAACTGTCTTTCCGGGTATGCAGTTACAGTTGCTTGACCATACTCAATTTTGCGCCACCATTCGCGCACTCTGGGAATCGTGAGCAATCCATATCCGGCATGCGGAGCCTTAGACCTCGGCAGAAAGAGATAAAATTCAATGATGCCACACCAAAAATTTTTCCATAGAAAATTTTAATGGGTTCAACAAGAACGGGTCTTTCAACACAGTTTCGAAAGAAAAAAACAGGGAAAGAGAGGGTATCGCCCAACCCCACACAAGAAGTCTTCGGGTAGTGATAGGCACATCCTTTTGGGCATTTATAAATAACTTTGAAGTCATAAGTGAATTCTGAAAAATTTTTACTTTATTGGCGAGCGTAATTTCTCCTATTCGGTATTCTTTATAATATTCACTTTGCAACTGCTTTCAACTTCTGTAGAAATCAAATGAAATTTCTAAGTATATAAACTAACCACTTAATATGCATAGTTATATAGAAAGTTTTATCTATAGTATGCCGCTAAAATTTATTGAATAATTAGGCATACATACATATTTGGTATTGTAAAAGACGCTATAAAAATTTAGTGGTAGTATTGAATACTGTTCAACAAGCACACAACCATCATCGACATCGCGAAAATGTACATACTTACATACATATCCACCGTCTATCATTTGGGCATCGCGTTTTGGCAGTTTTATTACTAATTAATCTTCTTTAACTTTCCATTGTTGCCTTAATATCATCAAAAGCTAATATATGGCCGGAAATGTAATGAAAATCGTTGGCAAATACCTTATGAAAATTTATATGACTGCGTAAATTTTTTTCTGCAGAAAAAATAAATCAAATTCGGTACTTAGTACTTGAGTTTAGCAGAGAACGAATCTTTGTTACGATGCGTGTATCTGTAGGCACATTTAAAACACAAATTATGCTTGTGCATATCGCGCACCAGCTGCAAAAGGGGCACAACTAAAAAAAAATTAAGTCGATTTTTTTTACATAAATCGATTCGTATGATTTACCTCCAATTAATGCAAATATTTTTCTTCTTCACTATAAAACTACTGCTATACATGTTTCTGTACTAATTGCGTTGAATCTGAACCATCCACAAGCAGTTATATTTTCGGATCTGATTTTTGAGTTGTGCCTCTTTTGAAGTTGGGGTGCGATGTGCCCGCAGTTGCGTCCTGAACCGCATTTCCATACTCATGGTGAAAAATGGGCTTTGCTAGAAAATACGGCGTTGCACCTCCCACATACACAAAATTTTTCAAAGTGGATATCTCTGAATTTTCATACCGGATATCTCGAGAAGTATTCGTGGTGACAGATAAAAGTGCGAGTTAAGAGAAAAGGGCGTAGGACCTTCCATACCTTTGGAAGCATTTAAGTGTACCAATGCCATGTATTTATGTAATTTACTAATAGCTTTAAATAATAAAAGAACTGATGCCACACCTCGCTTGGAAAGTAGATATGTCATATATCATAAGATTATATCAAAGTCTACCCAGCAGTTGATATTTTATAATTCCATAATTCTAGAGGCCGGTTTTTTTTAAAACCTAACCCCTTTAACCGAGTAATTAGATCTACGTAGGATCTGGCTTCAATCGTTGGTACGAGCAGCATCTAAA